TGATCGAGAGGGATGGACAGTCTGGCGAGGAATCAGATTGGCGATGCTGGAGCGCAGGCGATCACTGAGGCACTTCAAGGTCGAACAAGGCGCGGGAGTCGCTATGCTAAGACATCTCAGAGCTAATGTTGCATGTGAATGGGCCATACAGAGGACGAAAAGGCAGCTCCCAAAGAGCAGCTGGGAGTAGTCTGTCGCCGAATCAGACAGCTGCCAAAGATGCGCAGTCGATTGCCGCCCCCCGTCAAGCGGTCCCACCGCCTCCGCCACCACCGGCCGCTGGCCCGCCGCCACCGCCACCGGCTGCTGGTCCTCCCCCGCCTCCACCAGTGGCTGGACCTCCTCCGCCGCCCCCGGCTGCACCGAAGGCTGCTGCTCCGCCACCGCCGCCACCAGCTGCCCCTGCGACCCCAGCTGCCGCTCCTGCTGCTGCTGCCGCGGCTGCTGCTGCCCCAGCTCCGAAAGAAGACGACGCCGTGCGCCCCTTCCCGCCGCCCGCAGGTCCCAGCGTCGCCTATGCTCGCCAGGCAGTGCCCATTCGTATTCGCCTGCGCAAGGAGGTGTTTGCGCCGTCCGACAAGCTGGAGAACGGCGTCGCGCTGAGCTTGATCTTCCAACAGGTTGTTCGAGACGTCCTGAGCGGCAAGTGCCCTCGCTTGACACCCGACGAGCAGACGGCCGCGTCCGCGCTGCTGGCCGAGCACAAGATTTCGACACCTTCGGCCAGCGTGTCTGAGGATGTCCGCCGAAAGGTCGTCGAGGCTGCTCGCGGCTGGACCATGTACTTTTACCGCATGTTCCCGACCTCTGGCGGCTCGCAGATGCTTGGTGTGGGTCAGGGTGGTGTTCGCGTCGTCACGCGCGCCTCTGCCCAAGGCGAGCGTCACGCAATCTCCGCCTCGTACTCGTTCAACGACCTTGGCGACTTTGCCACCGACAAGGACAAGCTCAAGCTCGATCTTGCCGGCAAGCCCAGCACCTTCCAGTTCTCGTCGGCCGCCCAAGCGTCGCGCGCCCACCGAGTTGTCGAGGCAAACAACATTGGCAGCATGACCAATGCCAAGTACGTGCTTGCTGTTCGTGATTACATTACGCGCGACCAGACTCTGCTGTCATTCAAGTCGGGCGCTGTCATCAAGCTCTTCGACAAGGAAGGCGACGAAGACAAGGAAGAGTGGTACTTTGGTGCGTTGGACACGAAGAGTGGTTGGTTCCCTCAAGAGAACGTCATCGCCATCATTGGTGAGCCCACCCCTCAGGCCATCGAGCACGCCAAGCAAGAGTCGCTCAAGCGCGGCCTGCCTGCCGAGGCGCCTCCGACGCCCGCAACCCCTGCTGACGGCGAGGGCAGCTCTGCGCCCCTCCCGCCTGCGCCCGGTGGCTCTGCGTCTGCCTCTGCCTCTTCTTCGGCCTCGACTTCGTCCTCTGCCTCCGCGGGTACGGCTCCAGCAGCCTCCAAGGCAGCTGAAGCTCAAAAGAAGATCACCCTCATGAACCCGGCCTACATGCCCGACGTTGACAAGCCGATGCCCTCTGGCAAGTTCTCCATGATGGAGTTTGCCAAAGAATTCTTCCGTTATGACATGGAAAAGTACGAGATGCAACGCACTCTCAAGGGAACCCCTCGCGGCACCGTCAAGCTGATTGGCACCATCAAGGGCACCATTGGCCGTCGCAGCAAGTCCAAGGATGGCCCCATTGCGTCCAACCCCGAATGGACGTGGACGGAGCTGGCTGGCCTCGTCAAGTACTCCAAGACGCCCATCCAGGCCTCGCTCATGAAGATTGACATTGCCGACACCGTCCGCAACAAGTTGGCACTCGAGAGCTTTATCAACATTATGCGCTGGATGGGAGACTATCCGGCCAAGAAGGCGACCGACATTGAGATTGCTCACTGGATGCTGCGCGTCGGCCTCGAGAACGAGCAACTGCGCGACGAGTTTTACTGCCAGCTCATCAAGCAGGTCACCAACAACAAGAGCCCGAAGGCAGACAGCGCCACTCGCGGCTGGTACTTGCTGCTCCTCTTGTGCGCCTACCTCAAGCCCACGGATGGCTTTGAGCCGTACCTGCGCTCGTTCATCCATTCCGTGTCGTCCGACTCGCAGCGCGAGCACTCTGCCATTGCCGCGCTCGCCAACCGCTATCTGCTCAAGACCATCAAGTATGGCGGCCGCAAGGTTGTGCCCGACCAGCCCGAGTTGGAAGCTCTCTGCCAAGGCAAGAACACCAAGATCCAAAAGGTCTACCTGCCTGGTGACGCGACCAAGTCGATCAAGGTGAACGCGTGCTCGCTTGTGAAGGACATTATCATTGACATTTGCTCCAAGATGGATGTTCCCTACTGCGACGAGTACGGTGTGTACGTCTACACCAGCGCCGACCAAAGCACTCCCCTGCAGCCGTTCGACTACATTCTCGACACGACCACCATTCTCGAGCGCCGCAAGGTTCCGTACCGGCTGTACGTCAAGAAGACGCTGTGGTTTGCCCCAATCAAGCTGTCGAACGACTTGCACAACAGCTTGCTCTACGACCAGGCCATTCCGGAGCTGCTCAACAGCAACATGCTGAACATGACCACGGGCAACATCAGTCCTTCCTTCCTCGAGAAGGACATTGCTCTGCTCGCCGCGTTGCAGCACAAGGCGACCCCCAACGGCATCAAGCTGCCAACGATCGATGTTTTGCAGCGATGCATCCCGCGCCCGCTCTTCCCGTTGCTCAAGCCGGATGAGTGGACGAACGCGTGCACTGCGCAGTTCTCTGCTGTCGAGCACCTTGATCCTTCGATGGCCAAGCGCGTCTTCCTTGAGGTCATCATGAAGATGTTCCCGCTTTATGGCTCCAGCTTCTTCAAGATTGATGTGAGTTTTTTTTTTTTGGTTTTTTGTTGTTGTTGTTGTTGTTGTTGTTGTTGTTGTTTTGATGGTTGTTCGACTGCTGGCCTCGAAACCAACCTCACCTTTGACTTTCTGCATCTTGTTTTGTTGTTTACCGTAGTTCTGCTCGGATTCGCGCGTCCAGGGCGAATGCCAGCTGGCTATCAACAAGAACGGCATTGCTTTCCTCAACCCGTTGACCAAGGTACGATTCTTTCCACTCTTTGTCGTCTTGATGTCGCCTCCGTCTGTCTGTATCGTCAACTCAACATTGCTTTTTTTTTTTTTTTTTTTTTTTTGGTCTCGACAGGCAACTCTCCTCTCTTACACCTTCAACGAGATTGTTTCCACTCGTCGCCTCGGCTCGCGCCAGGCAGGTGGCAAGCAGTACATTGATCTCAAGTGCGGCAACTTGATGGTGCAAAAGGTTACCCGCTGCGAGACTAAGCAGGTGAGTTTTGTGGTTGTTGTTGTTGTTATGGTTGTGGTTGTTGTGGACACCCCAATCCTGTTGTATGGTGTTGCTGACTGTGTGCCAATGCTTGGTTTCATCGTTTTTTGCTTGCGCAGGGCTTGGAGGTTGTCTCGCTTATCACCGCGTATATTCAGAAGCACTTGGCTCAACAACAAGCCGATGCCGAGTTGTAGTGTATTCCCCCCCCCCCACCCCCTCCAATGTGGCTTTGCTTCAGGTGTCCGTCCGTCCGTTTTTCCTTCTCCCTCTTGCTTTTCTTTTGTTTTCTTGTTGTCTTGCCCTGGTTCCACGTTTTCTTTTGTTTCTGGTGTGGCTGTGTATAGTGGCGTCGTCTCAAGCACGAAGAAATGCCCGATCCCCCTCCTTCGTTGCTTTGAGCGTTGTCGCAACCCAATGTGAGAAATTTTGTGTTTCCTGTTTGTGTTTTTTTGTGTTTTGGTCGAAATAAAGTAACGACCTTGCGATTTCGATGATTGATCTTGTCGCCATCCACATTTCAGTCTGCATTCCATCCGCCAAACACTCACATCAGCTCATCACATCACCGACATTGTTGCGTTGACGAGCGCTCCAAAATATCTCGAGCGCGCGCTGTTTGCGGTGGAGTGAGGCACCCATGACGTCATGTTGAACTGACAATAGAAAATTCGCATTTTCGTTTTTTTGATTTTGTTTACGTTTTCTTCAGTCTTTGTTTGCTTTTCGACTTTCTCGCCATTATTCTTTTCGATTTGGGTCTTTTTGTTAGCAGTCTAAAATCTACTATTCGACCATTCGTCCAATGTCCACCGCCCTTGCCAAGGTCAAAAAGCAGCTCGTCTGGGGATTGAGCCAGCTGGAACCCGCCACGCTCGGCCGCGTTCTGGCCTCAAGCTCCTCCTCCGCCGCCGCAGCCAGCTCCATCCCAAACAGCGACAAGATCCTCCGCCAAGTCGACGACGCCGCGCTGCTCATCGTCCGCGCCATGAACGGCCCTTGGAGGCGAGTTGTTCATTCCGTTTTTTTTTTTTTTTTTTTTCATTCTTCCTTTCCCCTTCCTTCCTTCCTTCCTTCGATTCAATGCGCTTTCCATCATTGAAAACACACTCTCTCGATCATTGAGCAGAACAACGAACAGTGTGTATTGTGTTGGACTGCAGAACTTGCTCTTCTCGCGGTCGTTTATTCTGCAATTCGACTTGGATCTACATGTCCCAATGCTGCTGCGCTCAAAAAGCTCAATACGGTGCACTTTTCGCTTCTGTTCTGTTCGTGCAGGTTTTTCCATACTGTGGACCACGTCTTTGATGTCGGCGGAGTGGAGGATCCTGCAGAGGTTTGTCAATTGTCGGCTTGATCTCTCTCTCTTTGGTTTGTTGAAATGCTAATAACCCGCGGTGGGATTGTGGTAGGTGCTCGCCGGCCTGTATCACGACCTCGTCTACGTGCAAATCGACATGGGCATGTCCTTCACGATGAGCAACCTGCTGTCGCCGTACATTGAAGAGATTGTCGAGGGCATTGACGTTCCCAACACAAGCACATCGGCTGCTCCAGGTGTTGCCTCGCTCCGCGTGCGTCCGCGCTCGACGCTCCCCAAGGGCGATCTGATCATCGAGCTCGTGCTTGGCATTTTCGGTTTCCAGCCGGGCCAGGTGCTGTCTCCCTTTGGCGGGCAGAACGAGTTCTTGTCGGCGCTGGTCGCCACCATTGTGCTGCAGCCCCTCCTCGGCTACACCCACCTGGTGCACATTGTTGCCTGCATCGAGGCCACCATCCCCTTCCGCCCGAACGACAAGGTCACTGGCCGGACGCCCACCGAATCGCTGCATGCCCACCTCGTTGAGACCAACCAGTCGTGCGGCCTCGGTCTCAGCGCTGGCAACATTGAGCAGGCGGTGCGCCGCGCCGTGCGTCTTGCCAACCGCGATGTGGCCAACTTTGCCTACACCAACTCGGCCACCTTCCTCGACAACACGTGGAGGCTGCTGCCTGAGACCAACCACGGCCTGCGGAACGCGTCCTCGTACACGGTGCGGGAGTTCCGCGTTTCCGTCCAAAAGATGGAGGGCTTCCTGACCTTCCTCCAGCCGGAAGTCATCTTTTCGCGCTTCCAGGACGAGCCCTCTGGGGACACGTTCGAGGAAAACACGGGACGCGCACGGCACAATTTGGAAGTGTCCCGCCTGTACCTCGGTTGCAAGCTGGCTGCCCTCGCAATCATGGAGACCATTTCGTACCGTCTGGGCATGGACGTGCCCCTGTCCATGCTCACCGGTGATCTCCCTCGCGTCGGCTACGAGCACGTTCCCCAGCTGGCCGATTTCCTGCCCGATCCCACGGTTGGCCAGACGCAATCGGCCGTCTCCGATGCGGACGAGAGCCCCCTTCACGCCAAGCTCGGTGTCAACCCGCTCGCCGATCTGTCCGAGCTTGAGCAAGAAGTCCTGTGTCTGCTCGAGTTTGGCCGCGCGCGCGATTCGTCCTACGACCGCCGCAATTCGCCGCTCGCGACCTTCCTCGTCAAGCGTCTTGGCTTTGCCAAAACCACTGCTATTCTGGCGCGTTGCAAGGTCTTCTTTTCTGGCAAGCTGGAGGCGGAGGCGCTGCTGGCCGAGCTCGATCCCTTTGTTGTTGAGTACGCGGCCGGAGCCTCCTCTGTGTTTTTGTTTTGGTTGATGTGTGAGCTGGTTCTGACCTTGCTTGGGCATTGTTCTATCTTGTTCTTTTGCAGGAGTGTTCAAACTGCCATTGTCAGCATCTTGAAGGCGTATCAAGCAATCCTCTGCCACCCTCTTGTTCGTTCCTGAGCAGCCGACTCCGATTGAGGTTTTTTTTGTTTGTTGTGTGTGTCTTTTCGTTTTTCTGCATGTTTTGTTGTCCGCATCCGTCTGTGTGTCTGTGTGTCAATATCAATGTCAATGTCAGTAGGTTTTCGTCGGGCAGGCTCCCGCGAGATCTTTTGCCCTTCTTTGAGTCCCTGTTCTGCACTTTCAGCTTCAATAGAGTGTATCTGTGTTCCGTCTTATGGCTGTGATGGTCTTCTCGTCTGATTCCAATGTCCAACGCAACAACGCTTCAGTCAGTCCTTCTCCTACTCGTCCTCTTTTCCTTGTCGTTTTCCTTCCTTCCTTTTTTTTTTTTTTTTTTTTTCATTTTTTTCATTTTTTTCATTTTTTTCATTTTTTTTCATTTTTTCTTTCTGCTTATTTTTTCTTTCTGCTTGTCTGCGATGCCGTCATCATCATCATCATCATCATCATCATCAACGCCATCGTCGACATCGGTCGGCGCTGGTGCTGCGTCGTCGTCCATCCAGAGCGGCAATGGTGGCAGCGCTGGGCTTCTGCAGCGAGAGTCGCGCGTCTTGTTTGGCCTTCTTCCCACCCGGCTCTTCAACGTCCTGTGGCTCTCCATCTCGTTCTTTGTGCTCTTCTCTGCGTACAACACGCTCCAGAACTACGTCACTTCGCTCCTCCCAGGCAACGTGAGTCGTCATTCCCCAAAAGCGCTCCACTCAAACGGCAGCAGTGCAGCAAGAACAAAAATCAGCGCAATGGAAGCGCATACAAAAAAAAAAAAAAAAAAAAAAAAAAACCAGCCATATTTTATAATTATTATTTCGCTGCAACCTTTTTTCCCTTTCATTCTGAATTGTCGAAGCGCAGTGACGACGGATGCGATGCGTTTTGATTGCGGGGACAAAGTCGTTCGTTGCTCAACGTCCAGATTGCAGCAAACGTGTGCGCGTGCGTTGTTGCGCTGATGATCAGCAACGCAAACGCATCGGCAAAAAAACCAAAAATACATAAAATAATAATAATATCGCCTTTCCCTTCGAGCAGATCGAACGGCGTGCGCAGCGGACCAGCGCGTGATACTCTGACTGGATGGACAAGTGGGGGTTTGGGTTTGGGTTTGGGTGGGGTTAGGGTTAGGGTGGGCACGAGAGGGGAAGGAATCAGAGAGCGACACAGAGAGACAAAGCCGCGTGCCACATACATTCTGCATTGGCAAAGGCACTCACTCACAGTCATGACTCACTGACATGGATGGAGCGAGATGTGTGTGTGAGTGTGTGTGTGTGTGTGAGTGAGTGTGAGTGAATGATCAGGACGTGAGATACAACGGGGGTTTGGCTGAAACAATCGTCAAACTCCACCAATCTGAGCAATTCCGAACTCGCTAAAGTCAAAGTCACAGACAACGCTTACTCCTTGACTCACATTTTGCAATTGCATTATGATTGATCTGCAATCTCATCTCGTCTCGTCGTGATGTGGCATGAAACGCAAACCACACAGCTCGGAAACGTATCGCTCGCCGTCTTGTACTGCACCGTGGCTGCGTCGGTGTTTTCAGCGCCGTTCATTGTCGCCCGCTTTGGCGAGCGCAAGACGATGGTCTTTGGCGCGGCGTGCTATGTGGTGTTTATGATCTCGCTGATTGAGATTGTCTACGGCGTAGTCGTCTTTTGCTCAATGATTATCGGCTTTGGTGCCGGTATCCTGTGGGTCGCCGAGGGCAGCTATCTCACCAAGAACTCACTTGATTCCGAGCGTGGACGCAACTCTGGCATGTTCTGGGGCATTTTCCAGCTGTGCAACGTGCTCGGCAACCTTGTGGCCTTCTTTGTCTTTCAGGCCTTCTCATCCACCACGCTTTTCGTCATGTTCACCGTGCTGGGCTCTGCCGGTGTCCTGCTCATGTGCTTGCTCCGCGCAATCCCGCCAGAGGTGCATGCCCTCAATGTGGCGACCGCCCGCTCGAAAAAGGAGGCGCGTCACCTGTTGCACGCCTCCGATGGCCAGCGTGGCGCCTACAGCAACCACGCCGACGACGACGATGACGACGAGGATGATGGCGAATCCACCCTTGCAGACCAAGTCAAGAACATGACGGCCCGCCAGATTGCCAGCGAGATTATCCAAGTTTTCAAGCAGCCCGGCATGCTCATGTTGATGCCCATTCTCTTCTGGTGCGGCATTGAGCTGTCCTTCTGGGCTGGCGAGTTTACGCAATTGCTCGACTCGAACATTATCGGCTTTGTCCTCATGTTTGCGGGTATTGGCGACGCTCTGGGCGCAATCGTCATTGGCTATGTTTCCGACATTATTGGCCGGTCAGTCACCATGCTTATTGGCGTGGCCGTGTATGCCACGGCGCTTTTCGGCACCATCACCCTGTACAACCACCCGTACTCTGACAGCGACGTCTGCGTATCCGGCTACTGCGTGCCATGGTATGCCCTCACCTCGGCCTTCTGCTTTGGTGTGGCCGACGCTGTTTTCAACACCCAGGTGACGGCCATTGTTGGCTCCATGTTTGCCAAAAAGTCGGTCAGCGCCTTCTGCGTCTACCAGTTTGCACAGAACGTTGGCTCGGCCATCGGCTTCTTCTATCCGCTGCTGGTGCCCATGCACGGTGACGACAAGTCGCTCACGCAAGTTTGGTTGCAGGTTTCGCTCCTGTCCGTCGCCGCCACCCTCTTCATTTTGGTTGATCGCTTCCGATTAAAGTGGCGGCTTGTCAACATGTCGACCTCAAAGCCCTCGTCGGCTGTTGCTCCGTCCACGCACACTCGCAATCGCGACGGCTACATGCCGCTTTCAACCAGCAGCTCGGATCCAGCCCACGTCGGCGGAGACACTTCATCGTCGCCCATCGCATTTGCGCCAAAGCCCACGCGCTCCAGTGCAGCATCGCTGGCGTCTTCAACTCGCGTCTCTGGCCAGCACTCTGTCACTGGCGTCAACGCGGCTATCGACAACGAGTCTGTGGTCATGGGCGGCTCTGGCTCTGCGTTTGCAAGGCCACCCAGCCGGCAGTCCGCGCATGGCTCCTTGCCGACCAATATTCCGCCCAATCCGAATTCGAATCGCGAGTCTGCCGGTGCTATCGATCCCAAGCTCAACGGCAAGGGCGAAAAGGGAGATTTGCTCGAAACAATTTTCTCTTCCCCGCCATTGTTGGCCGCGTTTTCCGCCCACTGCGGGCGCGTCAATTGCCAGGAGAACGTTGACGTGTGTGTTGCCATCGACCAATTCCGAAAATTGCCCAGCGATGGCCAGGTGCGGCTAGGCGAGGCGCGTCGTATCGTTGACACATTCATTGTTCCTGGTGGTCCACAACAGGTCAACATTGATGCTCGAATGCAGCAGCGCCTAATCCAGCTCATCAACTCGTTGGCCCAGTCTGCCGCCGCCAACCCCGATGCCACAATCGACCTCCCGGCAAATACGTTCGACGGCGTCGACCGGTTGATTCGCTTTTATCTTCTCAACGACATTTGCCCGCGGTTTGTGCTCACTGGCGAGTTCCGGCGAGCCAACTCTCAGTGGCGAGCCGAGTCTTCTCAGCTCCTTCAGTCGTTGTAACCCCCCGCCTGTGCCACGCGCGATTTTGGACTGCTGTGTTGATTGATTTTTTTTTCAAAATGTTGGTTTTCTTTTTGTTGTGATTTTTTTTCTTTTCGTGTTTTTCGACTACTCTTTGATCGATCGTTTTTTTCCCCTCCATTTTCTGGAAAGCTTGTTTGTTGTTTCAAGTCTATCCTGTGTATGCTGTGCTAAGGCATCCAGCCTTTCCTTCCAGTACCAAAAACAACTTAAACAATAATCCGAGCAATGTCTTCCTACCTTTTTCCCCCTTCGTTTCATCTCCTTTGCAAGACGCTACTTTACATTAACTCTGACTGTTGCAGTGCTGTCGATTTCACGCACCCTGCCCTCTCGCCTTGTTTATTTTGCTCGCGCAACGGTAGTCTTTCTTTTGTTTGCTTGATCAATTTGACAAACTCGCACCCAGACTCGAAAAGCGCCCCCCCCCCGCCTCCCCAACTCTCTCTCTCTCTCTCTTCCTCGTTTTGCATGCAGGAACACGACAACAGCACTGGCTTGTCACTGGCGGAATGCGCGTGTCTCGACCTGCAGCGCGCGATACTCGCAGCAGCAGAAGCACCAAAGCAACTGTCTGATTCATCAGCACACGCCACGCCGACCTTGGACTCGCTCCCGCAGCCAGACTCCAGCGTGCCCGAGCCCGCGGCTGATGAAAGTACCAGCGCGAGTTCAGATGCGAGCCATGCGACGACGAAGCTCCAGCGGGCCGAGATGCGACGGAGCGGCGCGCCTTCTTCGGTGGTCTTCTTGTCAGCCTCTGGCCGCCGCTTCATGGCCGGTAAGCGACAGGGCAGCAGGCTCCACTTTCCAACGCAAAATGCAAGATGAGGATGGAAAACTGTGGTCTCTGCGGTTGTAGAGTGTCATGTTGCGAGGGGCTGAATCGTAACGAGCGAAAGATTTGCATTCGCCATTCCTGGGTGAAGGGTGTATCCTCATGATAATCCCGTGCGGGACCTTGGCTTGTGTCATGTCGTACTCACACTTGGCGATGATGCTGATATTGGAATGTTTGATTTGCAGCACTAAAAACCTGGATGCCTTCGAGTGAGCTCGATTGCGAAGCGGCACCCGTCAGCTCCTCATTCTACTCTACACAACATCCAATTCCGTATGACCAGCCATTACATAGCCGGATTGTTGATTATCACGACCATGTCCAACCTGTTCCAAGTAACCTTACGGCAACAGCAGGAGTAGCTCCGTTGTCCAAGCGAGTAGTACCTCCGCCAAACACCCATGCAGAACAACCTGTCCCAAGTGACGTTCATCCAACAGCTGCGTCTGCAGGAGCAGCTCTGTTGTCCAAGCGAGTTGTACCTCCGCCAAAGACCCGAAAGCGCGCGGTCAACACGGCCAACTCTCCCCAGTCGTCCTTCCCCTCGCACATGCGCAATGTCAACCATCCAGAAGCGTTTCCTCCATGGAGTCAGTTTGTGTATGCCCAGCCCGACACGCTTGGTTCTGTTTTGGATCCACCTCCTCCTGCACCATCGGCCAAACCACTCGCAAAAACGACGACCAAGATCGGCAGACCGCGCAAATCGACGAACTCACTTCCAATAGAATTGATGGAAACGGGCAATTCTGCCTCTGCAGCTGCAAGATCAGCTCCAGAGTCGCCAAACAATACATCTCAACAGTCGTTTTTCGCCGATGGTAGGTGATTGCAAACAAAGGGCTTTTTTTGTTGTTGTTTTCTGCAGTCTGAGGCTTCTTACTCATCTTGTTGGACCTGACTGTAACTTGTCTCGACAGTACCTTCCCTGTATGGACTTATCGGATCACGGATTGCATTCATTCCAATCAAATGCCATCGTAAAAAGCAACGTGAATGGACCTACGTTGATGACATTGGCACCCATCGTTTTTCTGCAATGTGCTCGCTGATGGGGACCATGTTCGCGCTTGGCGACGAAGCGCTCTACATCAACCACAGTCGCGTCTGGGTACCCGTTTGTCAAATTCCACAAAGCACCAGCCCAAGGTGGATCACCTCAACGAACTCGGCGTTGTACCTGTTGACGAATGCGCGCATTCTGAAGCTCAACGCCGCGTCATTGCGTACGATTGTTTCCCAGCATTTTCGGATGGAGTTGTCAACGTCATCCTTTGTTTCGCCCGAGCGGCACGCGACGCGTCTGCAGCCATTTTCAGCCATCGAGCCGTTTGCCACCGTGTGTTGCGACGCTGAGAATATCACTTCGTTCTGCGTTGACACTCAGGATATCATCTATGCACTTCGAAGTGAACGCATCTGTTGCCGGCCTTGCATCATGCCCACGCGCGAGTCCGTTCTGCAACCCCTGGACGACATGCGGTGGTTTGACATTGGTGTCGCTTCCTCCTCGACCTGTCTGAGCTCTGTGGCAGACCGCATTTACTGTCTGAGCAGGGGCAAGATCTGGGCGCGGACGAATTTGACGCTCGACAAGGTACTGCTCGCGTTTGAACGCGGCGCGAGCGCCGCTAGCCGGGCCCCAGCGCTGAGTGTGCAATGGATTGAATTCAGCGACGCGCCCAGTGTCACCATAATCAGTGCCTATGTCCCACCTGCGATTCTTCCTGCAATCCCGAGACCTGCGCCCCAGCCAGTGCCGTTCGGAGGTGGAGGGAGCGGGCCAGCCATGGTTCAATCGCAGACAGACTATCTTTCTTCGCCAGGCATGTGGCCGCCGCGGACTACCCATGACGACACAGCTTTCCATCACTCGCACGAGCAGGGCATGCACTCGCCGCAGCTGCCAGCGTACTCGCCATTCGCATCATCATCCAGGGCATCCTCGCCAATACACACAGTCTCATCTTATTCATCGTCTGGTTCGGCCGTCTCAGTCTGGACGCCTGCGCAATTCAGAGCTGGCGCACACGGAGCAACAACTTCTTCGCCTGATCTTGGGCACCGAACCCAATTTCCAAGTTTGCTACGGTCGCTCCCAGCCCTCGCCTCCTCATCGCGCCTGCCGTCCTCTTCAGGCTTACAGCCGTTCGCTGAGACAACATCTCGGCTCGGGAGCGGTGAAGGTGCCGCCGAGTCCAGTCGGAATTCACCGGACATGCTGCTTTGGCAGCATTCTCGCGATGCCATGTCACACGCGCCGCTGCTACCGACGGAGCCGTCGTTCTCGCAGACGGGGGATTGGTCGTCTGTCTCTCTTGCGCTTTCTCCACGATCCTTGTCCACCTTTGACAGTGCTTCCGAGATGAGTTTGGCAAGTCTCGCAAACCTCAACCCGCCGCAGTAGTCTGCGCACATGCCTGGACCGCGAGACCCTCGGAAAGAGCCGCTGGGATCACTCCCTGGCAATGAGCTTCTTGACCGGCAGAGACTCGACAAGCAAGTCCGGTCGGAGGGGCGCTCGTGGCGCTTCTAATTTAAGGATACCTTTTTGACACGTTTTCTTGAATTTGTCGTTGTTTTTATTTGCTTTTCCAATCTTGTCTATTCGTTCGAATGAATCAGATCCGATTTTTTCCCCCACAAGTATTCATTCACTCCAACATTCCTAGTCTCAGAACTTTTCAATGCTCAGTGATGATGATCCTGGCCTGGACTTTGCGTCGCCAGCGTTCGATCCGCTCCGTGCGCTGACCGAGGCCGGAGTCAAGCCGCCCTTTCCCAACATGAAGCCCATGGACAGTCTGGCCAAGTTCGAAGCGACCATGATCACTCGCACAGCCACAAAGCCCAAGGTAGCAGTGACGGGAAGCGATCAAGCAACAGAAGCAGCAGCAGCAGCAGCAGCAGCAGCGCCCACCACCCCAGCATTGCGTGAAGCTGCAGTGTCAGGCAACTCGACAAGTGCAAGTGCTGGCATGACGCACGAGCAGAGCCGGGTCCAGCTGGTCCATCCGACTGCGCAGGCTCAGAAACGAGCGGCTTTGGCTCAGAATCCTAATCCTACTCCAAATGTAGATGCGAATGCGGATCCAAACATCATCAATCTAAATCTGAATGCAAGTGGTACACCACGACACCAAGTTGTGCCGCTACCGATTGGGCGACCAAAACGAGGCCCAAAGAATGTGCTCAAGCGAATGGAAGGTTTGTCTGAGCGCAAAAGGGCGAGTTGCTTTACTAAATCATGACACTTGTGCATCTCATCGTTCGAATGCTGCATTGCAGAATTACAAATCGGCCCGCTTAGTGTTCTGTATCGATGTGTGAAGGAGCATTACCGAGCACGATTGTGGATTCGCGACGACAAGGGCATTCGCAGCCAAATGTTGGCAACTGTGCTCGTGTTTGACAAGCATTTTAACATGGTAATAAGCGCAGGAGAAGCGTAGGGAGATTCGTCCATGAAGCTCACTGCCGATTTTTCTCTCAACTTTCAGGTCGTGACGGATGTGCAAGAAATTGTCGATATGCGCCGCTTTAGAAACCTCCGGAAACCAATCGACTCGCAAATCCTCCTCACGAAGCTACAGCTGGCAATCTCTCCCACGTTAACACAACAGCATCCGAGCGGTGCTCAAATCCCCACATTGCCAGAATCATCCTGGCCGCCAATTCGAATTGTGCGTCGAAGACACCTCTTTATCAAGGGCGACAGTGTGGTAATGGTGCAACGAGTCAATCCATCAGTCTAATTTATAGTCACAAACATCGAAAGCCCACCAGCTTGCTTATTTTGATGCCTCATTAAACAACAACAGAGCGACAAAAATGTGCGTACTGTATTTTGCCAGACCAAAAATTAAAAGCGTCGATCATTCTGGTGATTTCTGTGCTTTGGGAGGGTGCGGATCGACAACGGGGGTCTTCCCATAAAACTTGCTTGCAGCAATGACACTCGAGACCAGCACATTGTGCAGAGGATGTGTTGCCAACTGAGAGAGACGAGTCAAAAGTGCCACAACCAAAGATCAGTAATGCCCCGCGACACCATCACGTTACGGCACGAAGCTTTCCTCGATGACAACATACCACTTGATTTTCGGGCCCACCCACGACAACAGTCGATTTGCGAGGATCTCGGAAGTCGTGCTGTGCAACAGAGACTCCGCTGAGAACGTAGCAGGAATGGTAGTGATCCCTCGGTCTGTCGCAACAAAAGCACACAGTAAGGTGAGATGGTGGAGTTCTCGAGATGGTTGACTGCCGGCAGTACTTTGCACGAGAAATCGTACTTTCCAGGCTTGTCCAACAAACCACCGTTCGGGTCTTGACAACAAATCAGAGCGTACTCTTGCAGAGCGACTACAAGAAAAACAATGCACGATGAATCGAGAGGGCGTTCGAACAGATTCAACGCCTTAACGCACGCGTCCTCGCCTACCTTCGTTCATGAAACCGCCCTCAAGAGCTTGCCGTATGGCCTCATTCGGTTCGTTCGCTACAGACGGAGAGAGAAAGAGAAAAGAGAGAGAAGCAACGTTTTGAGCGCATGGCATCCTGTAGATGACCAAACAAGCGGAGCTTTTTTGTTGACGGCGTACCGTAAAGCGCATAGGCCACAGATGGGAAGGTGCCTCCTTGCCAGAACGAATAACAGCCGTCGACCAGTTTGTTTGTGCGGCCCTGGAACCCACCTTCAAACCGCATTTGACGATTCACAAGCCAATGCTACAGCATCCAGCGAAGACAGAATGAGCGACAACAAACGAAGGATGGATCAGACGGACACACGCACAGCAGCATACCAATAATGATTTGAGATTGCAGGACGTCGCACGCTTCAGCATGACCAAGGCCGCGAATGCACAGAATGCATAACCTCCGTGCGCTTCAACGCCCGGAACACCTCCAAATCCACCCTCGTATGTTTGGCAGCTGCAGAAATCGGGCAATGAAATTAGCAAACAGCAAAGCAGCCCTTCTCCGCAGCACAAAACGAATGCAACAGCCAACACACCGAAGAAGCCATTCGGCAGTGCCCTCAAACAGCTTGTCCGTGGGGAGTTGACACAAGGAGGCCACCGACACTGCGCAGTAGGTGCCACGAACATCGACCTCGCCATCAACGTGCATGGAAAACCCACCCTCATGCTCTGAGTTTGAGCACTTGACGCTGTACAAGAACGAAAGCAACCGTTCCCGGTCGATGACGCCCAGGGCGCTTGGTGTTCCGATGGTCACAAGGGTATTGATGGCAGCATACGTCGGCGCCTGCAACCAAATTAAACACAATCGACAAAACGTGTCAGCCACCACGAATAGAGCTGCGATGCTCCGAGCCAGCAAGGGCATCCACAACGAGATTCACACTCGTAGCAAGCAATTAGAAAACCCCCACCAGATGTGACAGTTGCTGCGGCGACCCGCTAAATCCTCCGTCTGGGTTGCGGCAACGCTTGAGGAACTGAACCACTCTGTTGGATCCGAGAGAGAGAGAGAGAGAATGAGAGCAGAAGTCAAGATCAAAAAGGTGCAAACCAACATGAGTATCACAGAGTTTTCGTCCCTCAATACTCCTTTGTGACAAGAACATTGCAGACTCGGGTTCTCAGAGTTCTCAGAGGACGTGACGTACTGCTCGGCCTGCTCGACGTTGAGCTCTGCACCCAGCAGCGCGAGTGCGTGCACGCTCCAATAGCACAGCCAGGGCCGTGATGCGTCCAGTGACACATAGCCAGCAGGGAACGGCATGAAGAGGCCTCGCTTGAGGTACTTGACGTGCTGGATGCGCCGCAGCTCGCAGGCTGCGAGACGGTCCTGGGCTGCCTTGCGCTCGGCCTCGGACAGGCGGACGTTGGCTGCGTCCTCGGCAGCATAGCGAATGTCAGCGTAGAGACGCTCAATACTCGACTCGACCGCGAGCTGGATACGGCGTTTTTGTTCCAATGCACAATCAGCCAAAATGCAAACCGTCCGCCCACTTACTGCACTCCACCATGTTCAAAGTCAGCTGTCATAATAACCTGCTCAGCAGTCGTCCGCGTCGGATGTTGATCGTCAACGACGAGGAGCTCTTCAATGGTCTGCGTCGACGAGACCGCCATAATTTGTTTTGTAAGTGAAACAAATCTGAGACTGAACTGAAAACAACACAAACAGAACAATCTCAGACCAAGACGAATACTCTAAATGTTTGATCCAGCTCTTGAACTATCGGCTGTCGGCGGTTTTAGCTGGACAAGGCGTCACAAGTTCGCGCATTCGTAGTGAATTGTCGACAATCAAGACACCAGTAGATCTGACGCATGTCAAGTTTCAACAACAATTGTATTAAAGTCATCACACACGAGCCAACACAAAGTACTGCAGGGGCGGTAAATGAAGTCGACGCTAAACGATTTAACAATGATATTGCGATAAATGGTCAAAAGTGCTGGTCGAGCTGAACGGCAACACGGTGCCATTGGCGTTGGTTGGAAAGCTCAAAGGCTTGGTCCAGTTGTGTGAGCGGGACTGGAGGTGAAACGAGCTTCGACCATGGGTGACGGTTGGCAGTTTTGCGCAAAAACTCAATCCCGTCAACGAGGTGATGCGAGGCATAGTTGTGCACGCCGCAGATGGTCAGGCAGTTCTTGATCACATCCAGACCGGTGATGCCCAGCTTGGTCTCGGGGTGCACCATGCCGGCAAAGACATAGGTGCCGGCAGGACGCAGCAGGCGAATTCCTTCAGGAATGATGCTGGCAACGCCTGCGACCTCAATGACGGCGTCGACAGACTGGGGCTTGAGCGCAGCGACTTCTGCTCCCTTGACGGGCACGGCACCAAACTCGGCGGCGAGCTCGAGACGGCTGTCAATGTTGTCCGAAACGTAGACGGTGGCAACGCCCCTGTCCTTGAGCAATGCGGCTCCGTACACACCGAGCAGTCCGGCACCCTGAATGAGGACCGTCTTGGCATCGACGGGCACCTTCTCGACGACGGCAACCATGGTGGACAGGGCGCAGTTGGCCGGGACGGCAACGTTGTCGCTCAGGTCTTCCGGCAGCAGGATGACCGCAGTGCCTTGGCGGAGGAGAATGTGGCTAGCAAAGCAACCGTTGAGACCGCAGGCGTCTTCCAGGGGCGCATGGCCGTACTTGAAGAGACTGGTGCACTTTTGGGGAATGTGCCACTCGGTGCACGGCAAGCAATGCCCACAAGTGTTGGTGAGTGTCCAAGTGACGCGGCGGCCCACCAGATTGGCGAGCACGGATGTCTTGGCTTGAAGCGAGACCAAGTTGCCCATCGCGTTTGGCGCCTGTTGCTGTTGCTGTTCGCTGGCGGCTGATGCGGATGCGCAAGTTGCCAGATTGAGCTCGGCCGCATCGGCAGTGAAAACGGTGGTATCGGCGCCCACAGCTTCAATGACGCCAACACCTTCATGGCCCAGAACGGAGGGCAGATACGCGGCGCGGCGACCACTGGCAGTGTGCAGGTCGGAGCCACAAACAGTGGCCATGGTCAGTCGCACGAGAATCTCGCCCGCGCCCAGCGTGATTTCCTTGTTGGCCGTCTCTTGCGCGACAAAAGGCTTTCCTGGTCCCTCGAAGAGCATGCGCAGGACTTTAGCGGTGGTGGTGGTCGTGGGAGTCGCCACGCCTGCGAGCTCAGCGGCTGCGATTGCCTCGGCGGTTGTGTCCTGACTGCTGCTGCTGGTAGTACTACCGCTACTACTACTACTACTACTGCTACTGCTGCTAATGGTGGGATGGTAGTGTGCATGCGGGTGCAGATCCTTGTGGAAGTGCGCTGCAGCAGCGGAAGTGGCGGCGGCGTTGGTCAGCATTGCTTTCGTTTTCGTTCGTGCAAAATCTAGACAAAAACAGTCAAACAAAGTCAGCCGATTTTCTATTTGTTCAATGACGAAAAATGATGATCACGAAACGAACAAGAATTCTCATAAAAAGTAAAAATAAATAAATAAATAATCAAAACAAAAGAAAAGAAAACAAGTAAACAAATGTCTGCTGTCATTGCGGCGTCACATGTCAATCGGCGAGCCATCTGTCATTTCGTGGTGCGGCCAGTTTTGTCAAACTTTCACTCTGCGCAGAGGCGGCTGGGCCAGCGTTGTGCTGTCGTCACCGAGAGGAGAGTGAGAGAGACATGCGGCGGTGGGGTGGGTTGACGCAGTGGAGCGGTCGGTCGGAAGTGGGAAGGGGGATGCGTGTGTGAAAACCAAGCGAATAAAAACGGCAAAACGAGAAACAGTCCATTCTCGTCAAACCCCCCATCGACGGCTCTTCCCCATTCTCTTCGCCCTTCCCCTCCCCTCGAGCAGCAGCAGCAGCTGCAGGAGAGCCAGACACACAGTGCCACACGCACACACAGTGGACGCTTGCTACGACGAGGGTCAAGCAGGGGCAGCAAAAAAAACGCAATTCGGAAGTCAATGCCGCAATCCAATGCTCACAATGGTGTTGGTTTCAATACGAGCACTTGAACAAGAGCAATGGTAGAAGGAAAACAATAACAAAAAAAAGAGGAATGAAGATGAAAGCGGACCAAAAGAGCCGAAATCAGAACAAGAAGTGAAGAAAAGTTGTGATCAATGGGTTGGATTTTGCAATCCTTGGTCTTTTTTCCCTGCTACCACGATGTAGATTGCTGAAGGACGGGGAGGAGGGGGGGGGAAGGGGAAGGGATCCGCTATGACAGCAATTCGCAGTTTCACTCCCACACAAATATCGTCCACAAACAGGACACGAACCAGAAGAAAGGCGCATCCTGATTGGACTTTCCCTTTGCTCTGCTCTTGTTCTGCTTCTGCTGCCCTTTTGCTTGCATTGGGGTCGAATGAAGAAGCACAAAACTCTATGATTCTTGCGTTCTATTCAACGGCACAGTGCGCGATTTTGACGAGTCACATCATTCGTTGGCTTCTTTAGGAACTGCTTCGCAACGCGCCGCAAGCGAGAATGCCCATGATCTGTCCAAAAAGCCAAGAAACAAGTATCTGGGCGTCAGTCGTCACACTTCGTCGGCAAAACCATCCAAACTCCAGTCTCGTATTCTCGCACCTGCTGACGGACGCTTCGTTCATTATGGATTCCACCACTCGCAAGAATACGGATCTTTCAGCCATCTTAGCTCAGAAGTAAGTCCTTGTTGTGAGGCCCGAGTGTGAGAGTGCTAGCTGCAGGCGAACGAGGGGGAGGGGTGCCGGCGTTGCTGGAGCGCGCACAGTTGCTGAGACATGCAAACACACGCCTCTACTTCTGCTGCCCTTTTGCTGCCACTCTAACAGAGACCTCCCTTGTGTTGCTCACAGGGACCTCTCTTGTGCTGCTGATGAGCTTCGTGGTATCGAGCGTTCCATTGCTGCGCTGGCCGCTTGCCTTGGCGTTGCCACAACGGTTTTCGCGCCATTTTCCAAATCTCTGGTCTCGAATGTTCCCGACGCCAGCCGCTGCGCTGCACTACTCAAGGCCTTGACTGGTCGAGTCGCCGGCAAGGCGAAGCCAACAGGCGAGGAAAAACTCGTCGTCAAGTTGTTGTTCGAGAATCTGGGCTTGCACTTGGCTGCGGAAGGCATCGCGCAATGCAAGGCCACTGGCAAACGGCTTCTGGTTACGCTGGTTCACGATCTCAAGTCCAAAAAGACGGCTGAAGATGCCGCCAACCAAGCTGCAGAAGCCATCGCCCAAGCCAAAATGCGAATTGCAGAAGCCGCCAACCAAGTCGCAGCAGCCCACGCCCGAGTTGAAGCAGCCAACGCCCGAGTTGAAGCAGCCAACGCCCGAGTTAAAGAACTTTGGGCAAAGAACCGTACGCTCGAAGCCAGAAAGCTAGAACTTGAGGCAAAGGGCAATGGTAGGTCTTGTTCACTGCGCAGTTGCTACTCTGGTTGCGCGGATTCTTGTTTCTAATGTATTGACGTGTATCTGTATTTGGAGTGTGTTCACTCGTCGCTTTGTATTAGTGATCAGAGATCGTTCCACGAAGATACGAATAATGGGTTGATGATGAGAGTAATAATAGGAAAGAAGAGACTCTACTAATACAAAGCGACGAGTGAACACACTCCAAATACAGAGACACATCAATCCATAACAGTTTCGTCCAAAGTGATGGGCCAGTCGTCACACTTCGTCGGCAAAACCATCCCAAACTGTTAATTCTCGTGTTCTCCTGCTGACGGACGCTTCGTTGATTATGGATTCCACCACTCGCAAGAATACGGATCTTTCAGCCATCTTAGCTCAGAAGTAAGTCCTTGTTGTGAGGCCCGAGTGTGAGAGTGCTAGCTGCAGGCGAACGAGGGGGAGGGGTGCCGGCGTTGCTGGAGCGCGCACAGTTGCTGAGACTTGCAAACACACGCCTCTACTTCTGCTGCCCTTTTGCTGCCACTCTAACAGAGACCTCGATTGTGCTGCTCACAGGGACCTCTCTTGTGGTGCTGATGAGCTTCGTGGTATCGAGCGCTCCATTGCTGCGCTGGCCGCTTGCCTTGGCGTTGCCAAAACGGTTTTCGTGCCATTTTCCAAATCTCTGGTCTCGAATGTTCCCGACGCCAGCCGCTGCGCTGCACTACTCAAGGCCTTGACTGATCTCTGGTCTCGAATGTTCCCGACGCCAGCCGCTGCGCTGCACTACTCAAGGCCTTGACTGGTCAAGTCGCCGGCAAGGCGAAGCCAACAGGCGAGGAAAAACTCGTCGTCAAGTTGTTGTTCGAGAATCTGGGCTTGCACTCGACGGCGAAATGGACTTGCAATGTCACCGGCCAACTGCTTCTGGACGTGCTGGTTCACGATCTCCAGTCCAAACAGACGGTTGAAGATGCCGCCAACCAAGTTGCAGAAGCCAACGCCCAAGTTGCAAAAGCCACCAACCAAGTTGAAGCTGCCAACGCCCGAGTTAAAGAACTTTGGGCAAAGAACCGTACGCTCGAAGCCAGAAAGCTAGAACTTGAGGCAAAGGGCAATGGTAGGTCTTGTTCGCTGAGCAGTTGCTACTCTGGTTGCGCGGATTCTTGTTACTAATATTGTGTGATGACAGCAAACCCCGCCACTTTCCCGCTCTACGGTGTCAATTTGACACCTGATGTCGACAAGTGGCTTCTCACTCGCCCGGAGCTGCAAGAGAAAATAGTCAACGCCGGCGATCGAGTTCTAGTCACTGCACCTCCAATTCACGCACTGCCCCAAAACCTCGAACTGTGCTATTGAGCATTTTCTTTTGTTCTTTTTTTGATGTAGCCCCTGCTTGTTGTTGAATTTTGTCCGTAGATCTACGCCCTGCTTGTCGTTTTGTTTTGTTCCAACCTCTTTACTTATTACATGGTTTCTTTCTTGCGAAAGAACCAAGATGGAAAAAAACTCAGAGCACCTTCCTTCCGTCGGTATGATTTTGTTGTATTTGTTAGTGATAACGCACGCGCATGGATCCTTTTCGCCCGATGGGCACACATCTGGACATTTGTCCCTTCCCTTGTCTGCTGAGAATAGAAGTCAGTCCCGTTTTTGGTGTATTCTTTCCGAGTCGCTCAGATCGTCTACCTTCGACCTCTCGAGTCTGTTTCCCCCCCCCCCGCCCACCCCTCGTCCCTGCGTCCCACATGCTGTCGTTTGCCAGTGCTGCTGCCAACAAGGTCGCTGCTGGCCTGGCGTGGTCGCCCGAGACTGGCCTTGTCGCTTACCCAGCCGACGCCAATGTTTGCATCATGGCCACGCACTACCACCACGACGACCCCGCCACCACGCCAGCTCAGCCCCCAAATAATAACACCAGCAACAACAGCAACAACAACAACTCCAAGTTCAAGGAGCAGGATCGCGTCGTCGCCGTCCTCACAGCGCACAATGCGCGCGTCAATACCGTCAAGTGGCTCGACGCACGGACGCTCGTGTCTGCTTCAGCCGACAAGACTGCTCGCGTGTGGCGCCTGTCCCCAGACGGAAGCAATGCCCCTTCGGAGTGGGACTGGCGCGCAGAGTGGCCGTCGACGCACTGCCCGTGGATCTCGGTCGCCACACTGGAAGGGCACACGGCGAGCGTCACTGCTCTGGCTACACTCACAGTGCCACAAACGCCAGTCGCATTGCTACCGACGACGACGACGACGACGACGATTACGACGACGACAAAGGAGGGCGCGAGCGCGGCGACCGTCCTTGCGCGTTGGATTGCTACTGCGTCGGGCGATGGAACAGTGCGCATCTGGCTGTGCACGGACGAGCATGTTGCTGCAAGTGCTACGTGGACGTGCGTACAAACTATTGCGTTTGGCGTGCGCTACATGGAGTCTGTCACTCTGGCGTGTCTGCCCAACTCGCCCGTGCCCATTCTCGCCACCGGTGGCGTCGATCGGAAGGTGCACATCTTCACCTATGATACTGCCGACACTCGCCAGTTTGCGCTTCGGTGGTCTCTGGCTGGCCACGAGGATTGGATTCGCGCGGTCGCGTTTGCCCATGCGCCCGTACCCCTGTCGGAACTCACCTCGCCTTCCCCTGTTGCAGCCCAGGATGGCAACGAGTCTGCTGGCTCTTCTGGCTCTTCTGGCACCGCCGCAGACACACCGTGCTTGTTGCTTGCAAGTGCGGCGCAAGACTCAATGGTCCGGTTGTGGCGTGTCGAGTGCAGTGCCACCAACAATTCCCAGGCAACAGCAGCCGTCCTTGATGCGTTGCTGACGGGACACGATCTTCCTGTCTACAGTATCGAATGGGAGCCAGCAGTGCAGGTCGGCACAGACCCCGTTGTCGTCCGCCAACCTCTTTCTCTCTTGACGGCATCGATGGACCGAACCCTCATGAAGTGGCAGCCCGACCCTGAAAGTGCCGTTTGGATAAACACCACCCGTGTCGGCGAGTTCTCGGGTGCCGGACTGGGCTTTTACGGCGGCATTGTTGGTCCGCGAGGCACTGCCATTCTCGCGCAAGGATTTCAAGGCGCCCTCCACCCGTGGACGAAGCAGCCCCAACCAGGCGCCGCCTCATCCAATGACGCTGACGCCGGCGGCACCTTGCCGTATGAAGCTTGGGTGGCACAGGCGTCAGTGAGTGGCCACTTTGGTCCAGCAGAGGACCTTGACTTTGACCCGACGGGAGAGCTGCTCTTTTCCACGAGCGCCGACATGACGACGCGCATTTTCGCCTCATGGGAGCGCCACCTTCCCGGTGCGCCCGATCTACTCCTGTCATGGCACGAGATTGCGCGCCCGCAGATTCACGGCTACAGCATGAATGCCGTTGCCACTGTGGGCAGCTTTCGCTTTGCCAGCGCGGGTGACGAGAAAGTCGTCCGTGTGTTTGACGCCACAGGGCACTTCAGGGAAACGCTCCAGGCGCTGTTGCCCGCAGTCCCAGCAGTGGATGCCTCTGCTGCGTTCGACACTGCATCTGCACTTGTCGGCGCGACCCAAGAGCGAGTGCGACTGGCTCAGCAGGCTCGCCGTGGCGTGCTTTTGGCAGACCGAACATGGCAAATCGCAACTGCCTCGGGCCCTACTGTCGACACGTTGTCACAACGCGGCCGAGCGTTGGGTGCGTCTGTGCCCGCTCTTGGCTTGACAAACCGTGCTGTTTTCGAGGACGACTTGTCTGGCGGCGTGGCCAAAGCCGCCGCCGGAGACGATACCGCCGCTGGCGAAAGCTCGGGTCGTGTCGCAACCGCAGGTGACGACGAGGAGTCGGCGTTCACTGCGCAAGAGGCGCCTCCAGGCTTTGCCTTCCGCTACGAAAAGATTGCAGGACCGCCACCGGAAGAGCATTTGACGCAAAACACCCTTTGGCCCGAGGCACACAAGCTGTACGGCCACGGCAACGAAGTGTTTGCGTTGGCCTGCACACATGCAGCGGTTTCGGCCGATCCGACCGCGCCAGCCGAGCCAGCATCATCTCTTGGTGTCTCCTCCAAGGGTCGTTTGCTGGCCTCCTCCTGCAAGGCGACTCGCGCAGATACTGCCGTCATCCGCGTTTCCGAACTGGACACGTACCGCGATATTGCCCTTCTCGAGGCGCACACTCTGACCGTCACGCAACTCGCTTTTTCTCACAACGACCAATTCCTGCTCAGCGTGTCGCGCGATCGCACTTGGACACTGTTTTCTCGCATTGGTAAAATTTGCTCTATCCTCGACATTTTGTTGTTGAAATCTCTTTTGACAGAATCGCTGACTGACTTTTTTTTTTCTCTCTGGCTCCTGTTGCCATGTCTTCATTTTGTGTTTTTTTTTTGTTGGGGGGGGGATCAGGCCACACTTTCTCGCTCGTCGCCAAGACTCCAGCCCACGAGCGTATCATCTGGGCCTGTAGTTTCAGCCATGACGATCGTTTCTTTGCCACCGCTTCGCGTGACATGACTGTAAGCGAGATGATCGCATGTCGCCGCGAGCTAGATTCGGCTTCTTCAACTGATTTTTTTTTTGTTCACACGCAATGCAGATTAAGATTTGGGCGCTTGAAGCCCCGGGCACTTGCGTTGCGACCATTGACCACTTCCGCGAGAGCGTGACTGCCATTGATTTCGCGCCAGCGCCATATGAAGGGTGAGCACTGTCATGAAGGTGTTATTTTGAGAGTTGTCGGCGCAGGATTCCCATTTTGTCTCACGGTTTTGGATTCCCCTGTCTTGCATTCCCCGCCCCCTTCCCCCCCCCCCGCCGCCCTGAAAATTTTGCCATCTAGTGGGTATCTGCTCGCCGTTGGACTTGATTCTGGCACGCTTGGGCTGCTGCAAATCAAAGCAGCTGCCGGCAGCTCCTCGCAGATGACCGTCACTTCAGCCAAGACGCTGGATAAGAGGTACAGTATTGCTGCTGCTGCCATGTTTAGTTTCGAAACAAGAAGACTGAGCCCGCTGCATGTTGTTTGTTTGTTTGTTTGCTTGTTCGCAGTGTTTGCCCTTCGTCCACCATTCGACGAATTCGATTCCGGCCTTTCCCTGTTGTGGACTCTATCATTTCTTCTGCTCGTCCCAGGTTGCAGTTTGCGACAGCGAGCACGGATACTTCTGTGCGGTTGTACGATGTGCCGTTGTGATTTGAACTTTGGCGGTTGTTTCTTTCGTCTTCTTTCAGTTTCACAAATTCATAGCGTTTTCAGGGGGGGGGGAGGGCGCAAAAGTGGGTGGGCGGCACCTTCGACAGCTAGCTAGTTAGTTGTCACCAGCACTCTGTCTCAGTTAGTCAGCAGATTCAACCAATTCAGTCAATTTTCAATTTTCAACTCCAGGTCAAATCTTGTCCAAATGCTGTGCTCTCGACTGCTTCCCAGTCTGCTCAGCCGGAGTGCCCGCGAGTTGTCGACTGTGCCAGTCACGCGAAACAACCCTCCACGATGCACGATGGCTGCCGCGATGCTGGCACGATACACGAGTGCAGCACCAGAACCGCAATCATTGGCGACCAACCAGCAATCTGCCCCAGCGCATCGCCGCGTCCAACTTGGTAACCCCCCCCCCCAGCTCGACCCAATCACAACCCAAACCACCCCCTCTCTCTCTCTCTCTCTCTACACTCTCATTCATATTGCAGACGCAATTGGCGCTCTATTTCGCTCGAGCGACGTTTTGGCTCAAAAACCTTGTTCCGCCACACACGACAAGTTTCTCCGCAATCGCACTCACTCTGAACTGCACAACATTCACAGATGTTCCAACCGCTGACATGAAGCGCGAATTCGCAGAGCAAGGATTTCTCAAGGTGCCCGGCGTCATTTCGCGCGAGTTTTGCGCCGAGCTGAACGAGCGGATTGATCGCTGCTTCACCGGACGATTTGAGACTGGACACTACCCGGACGAGTGGTACTGGCGAGCCGAAATGTCGCTTCCAGATGTGACCAGACACATGTGCAACATCTGGAAGTCCGACCGCTTGGTTGCGTCGATGGTGCTTTCGCGCGAGGTCGCACGGTTTGCAGCTGGGCTGATGAACTTTGACGGCGCACGCATTGGGAATGACTCGGTTTGGGTCAAGCCGCCCAACGGGACTGAAATTACCTTCCACACGGACGCATTCTACGTGCCGTACCCGATGATTACCTGCTGGCTGACGCTCACCGATGTCAGCGAGGCGAATGGCACGCTGCAGTACATTCCCGGCTCGCACCGTTGGCCCAAAACCGCTGCTATTGACCGCGACGCGTTCCATGCCCCAACTTCCAGCTATCTCTCGCCTGCGTACGAAGCGGCTCATGCCGCCGGAGTGGATGCTTCGACCATCAAGGTGAGGGAGTTGTAAATTTTGTGATTTGGGGTTTGAGCGTTTTGTTGGTTGATTTTTTTTTTTGTTTTGCATGCTCACTCACACACACACACACACACTCTCTCTCTCTCTCTCTCTCTCTCTCTCTCTCTCTCTCTCTCTCTCTCTCTCTCTCCTGCCTGGCTGTTCGCCGCGCAACAGGTCGAAAGCGTCGAGCTACCAGCGGGGTCGATCGTATTCCATCATGGCGACATGTGGCATGGCAGCTGCAAAAACACAACCAGCGAGCGCTGGCGTCGGTCGTTGGGCATCCATCTCATTCCGCACACCTCGCGATTTGGGCAAGGGGATGGCTACATTTATGGTCGGTACCGCAAAGCTGGCGACGACTCGATGGATCCGGCCTTCTTCCCCATTCTCTGGTCCAAGGACGGTCAGCGATCGGCGACCATCAAGAGTCACGTCGGATATGACTGAGGCGCGGGATTTTTTTTTCCATCAGTGCATGTTTCTGGTGTGCCTTTGCTTTGCGGAGTTGGATCATCTTGTCAAAATGGAAAACAAACGCTCATCATCTTCACCACGATCACCGTTGCATGGTGTGTCACTGGTCCGTTTCCATTCGATTCCGAGCCCTGTCAATTGTCATTATTGCTGTTTCTTCGTCTGTGTATTTATTTATTTATTTTTATTTTTATTTTTCCTTACCTCAGGCTTTTTGCAGTCCTATTTTTTTTTTTTTTTTTTTTTTTGTTATCACAACTTTTGCGGTTTTCCTGCTCCCTCTGAGTTTGAGTGCACACGGTCGCAACACCAACAGTTCACCACCATGTCCTTCACATCATCCACTGGCGACGAGTTCTTTGCAGCACCCCACGAGTGGAAGGTAAGCATGGATGCAAGGAACTCGAGTGCTTTTTGCACGAGCACGGAAAAAAAAAAAAACAAAAAAAAAAAACACCATTGGTTTTCCTCAGTCAAAGTCAAGCTGAAGTCCGCTATTTCGGTGACGACCAATCTTGTGCTTCTGGCGCATGCTGGACGCGGGTTTTTTTGCATCAAAAGCTGCGTGTGTGCGTGTGGTGGCAGAAAGAGCCGCATTCTCTGCTCGGGAGCGGGCGCGGCTGAAACTGGGACAAAGCGGTACCAGTCCGGTCGGTCGGTCGGCCACTCTGCGCGCGCCTGGAGCTGTGTGCGCCGCTCTCCGCGGCTTGTTGGCTTGTTGCTCCACTGCGACTTTGCCTTCAGACAAAGCGGCGCGTTTGACTTTGCCTTTTGCTTTGGGTTTTCCACTACAGTCAGGGCTTTTTTTATTTTTTATTTTTTATTTTTTATTTTTATTTTTTATTTTTTATTTTTTATTTTTTTATATATTTATTTTTATTTTATTTTTTTGTTTTTTTAACTGGCGTTCCATTTATTTTTTTTCTTTGTATTTTTTTGTTTTTATCATTGGTATTTTTGTTTCTGAAACCTGAAAAAGAAACGACACCCACAAAGACCACGTTCTTCTTTGCGAGTGCACTGATGGCGTTTTGCTAAAAAGCAAGAACAAAGTCAGCGCGAGTGAAGTGCTCAGCACCCAAAAAAAAAAAAAAAAAAAAAAAAAAAAAGTAAAATAACGACAAAACGAAAAAAACCACCAACAAACAAAATAAAAAATAAAAAGCAACAAAAACAAGGTCGTGAAGGAGTGACAGTCGCAGGCGGCCTCCCACGGGCGCTCATCCGCCATGACATCTGGCTCATCCCGCTGTTGCTCCTTGATCATGGGGCTGTGGAGGGTGAACGGCGGCCGGGGCAGGGCGCGCGGAGAACAGTCCCCGGTGTTTTGATTCTATTTTTACAATTCAAAAAAAAAAAAAAGCCAAAAAGTTACAAAAAAAAAAAAAAAAAAGCACCGCCTCCCTTTTACTCGTTGTTGCGATGGTTTCGCTTTTTGTGTTGTGTGGTTTGTGAGGCGTGACTGGGTTCGTTTGTGAGTCGCTTACGAGGATGTAGTCGCTCGTGCTTGTGTAGTGTGCGAGGGTGTCTGTGTTGGCGTGCTTTGGTGTGGGTGTGGCTTTTACGGTGCTGAAAAAAAAAAAAAAATCAAAATCAAAATCAAAAAACTCACACAACGTGTTTGCATCATGATCCGCGTCGACAGTGCTCTGCGAAAGGCTGCACCAAGGACGCCGCACAATCCATCATCTGCCCAACCTGCCGCTGCCTTGGCTACTGCGGAAACGAATGCCGCGTCAAAGAGTAAGTCGCTCAAGCTCATACTCGTCGATTCATGACTGTTTGCATCTCCACCATGGATTCATGGATTCATGTATTTGCATTTGGTGAACGTGAACGTGAAGAACGTGGTGTGTGTGTATTCATGTATTTGCATTTGGTGAACGTGAACGTGAAGAACGTGGTGTGTGTGTGTGTGTGTGTGTGTGTGTGTGTGTGTCAAAGTACTCACCTTGCTCTCTCGCACAATCAGCTGGGATGGAAAGCACTGGAAAAAGTGCAAGGATACCCTGAAAGAGGGTGCCGAGTTCTTTGCCTTGATCAACCCCGTCAACAAAAAGAAGCTGCTCAAGTTCTTCAAGACGGACAGCGAGAAAACAGCCGTCCCTAAGAACTTGCCAAAGGGCTTTTCGCTCGAAATCCGAAACGACCGCCTCGACACGCCGCTCTGCATCGCCGCCGATCTCGGCGAATTCAGCTTTGTAGAGCTCTTCCTGCGCCTTGGTGCTGGCATCAACCGCAAGGGCTCTCATGGGTGAGAATGCCTTCGGCCAATTGTTGTAGTCTTTTGTTCTGTTCTGTTCTGCTCTGTTCTGGGGTTTTAATTTTTTTTTTTTTGCAAGATCTTCACACTGACGTCTGCTTCATTGTTCCACCATCTCACAGAAACACTCCCCTGCATTATGCTGCGCGGAAGGGCTTTGGTCTTGTGGTCAAAACGCTCATCAAGAACGGGGCTGATGTGATGGCCACCAACAACGACGGCGACACCCCGTTGCACTTGGCTGCCTTTGGGGGCCACCAGTTTGCCGTCCTCGCTCTGCTCGGGGCCAAGGTGGACGTGCTCAAGAAGAACAGCGGGTTTCAAACACCGCTCGACGCCGCAGTGAACGCCAAGCAGTTCCATCTCGTTGGTCTGCTCCTCGATCATGAGCCGTCGTACCGCGAGAAGCCAACGCTGCTGATCAATGCCATTCGTTCCAAGAATGCCGAGTATGCGGCTGTGCTCGTGGAAAACGGCATTAGCATTGAAGCCAAGTCCGACAAGGGGCTCACTGCCGTGGAGGAGGCCACTGCGGTTGGCTTGACGCAGTTCCACAAGCTGCTCGAGGAGAAGCGCGCTCGCGACGAGTTGTCTGGTGCCATCAAGATCAAGAACAAGGAAGACGACGAGGCTCGCAAGGTGGAAGAAGCGCGCCTCAAGGAGGAAGAGGAGAAAAAGGCCGCCGACGCCGCCAAGGCCGCCGAAGAAAAGAAGGCTGCGCTGCTCCAGGCCGAGGAGGACCGCAAGGCTGCCTTGGCCAAAGCCATTGCCGAGCGTGATGAGGCAGACCGGCAGTACATTGAGAATCAAAAGGGCGAACTTGACAGTCTAACGTCGTCCTTGTCACAACAGGCTGCAGGCCAGCCAGTTAACAAAAACCTCCAGCGCGCTGCCGGCACACAACGAAGAGCCAGCACCGTCTCGACCGAGTCCACAGGATCTGATAATCCCGCGCACGCGGCCGCTGCGGCCGAGCTCATGAACGCGGCCGAGCTTGTCTCGGCGGATGGCGCCATCCAGCTGACCGTTCCAGAGCCCACCTCCGAGCTGCAGGTGCAGCTCAACGCGCTGCTCGAGTTCCGCCATGTTCACCGCATGATTGCCTTCATGATTCCCGCGTACGACTCGATGAAGAAGGCCTCGACCGACGATGGAGCCGTGATTGTGCAAGGCGTCAAGGAAGTTGCCTTGCAAACTGCGCAGGCCATTTCTCTCTGCAAGAGTGCCATTGAAGCCACCTTTGAAGAGAGCGTTATTTTGCACTGCCGAACGAAGATTGGCAATCTTACGCACTCGAGCGCGATTCTTAAAGAGTCTGTTCGCACGTTTATGACTGCAACAGAGGAAGAAGCCAAGGTCTGTCCACGACACTTTTTGTTTGTTTGTTTGTTTGCTTGTTTGTTTGTTTGGCAGGGTTTTTTTCTGGTTTCGCCATTGTTTTGTTCGATTGACCACTCACTTTCATTGTGTGTTGCTTTTTGATTGTACTCATCGTAGACCGCCGAGTTGGAGCAAGCCTTGGCAACCGTCAAAGCTCTGATTGATCATGTCTACTCGATTGTCCAGATTGCCAAGCTCGAGCTTGATTCTATTCCTGCCATCAACTAGAACACTCGCGCGTGGACGGAGATTTGAAATAGCATCTCGCCCCGTTGTGCAGAATTTCTCGCCAACCACTGCACCTGCCAGTCTGTCTGCTGCATGTTTACTATCCTTGTTCATGTTTTTGTTTCCGTCTTTTTTTTTCTTTTCTTTTTTTTTTTTTTTTGTTCCTTCTTCTCTTTCCTTTTAACAGGGGTTTTTGAGTTTGTCGGTTTTGTTTCTATTGTTGTTTTGTAGCTCACTGTTGCTACTCGAGTCATGTTATCAACAATACACCTTTGTTTTTACCGAGGGTTTCAAGGGAAAAGTCCGGTGTTTAATGTCGACCTCCAAATAAACGCATGTGATCGATCAAATCATATCACGGTAAGCGGGAACACGCTGCAAATGACGAGCAAGAGGCATGTCCAACACAAACTGCGCGACATCTTCAGGTACGCGCAGATCGGGCTGCGGGACGGGTGGGACGAGTCCAAGAAGCGCATCAATGTTGCTGACACCGAGCGCTTTGGCAACTGCTGCCTCGCTCCCTTCGTGCCGCCACAGCTTGAGTCGGCACAACGAGGAAAGTCTAAAAGGTTGCGCTTGCTCGGCCATTTGCAGAATCTGCTTGAGAGTTTTCTGGTTGGTTGCTTCCACTCGGTCATGCAAGCGAGTCCACTCCTTTTTGAGTGCTCGGTCATAGGGATGCTTGACATCTGGCCAGCCACCACATGATGATGATGAGACGAAATCGAGGCATTTGGAAGGAGAGAGTCCCCACGCAAGCAAGCATCCGACAACCAGGCGTCGAGTCGCCGCCAAGGCAAATGGATGAGCATCGCCGGACCAACTAGAACCGAAAGGAGGCAAAGTACGAAAGCTCGCAAGCTCAAACTGGTAGAGCCAATTCGAAAAGTACAGTGTCGGTCTGTCAATGAAGTTCTGCTGGCCAAGTTCAGGTAGCCACTCAAGCACAGGTGCCATATCCCACCCCGCCGCCTGCTTGAACCAATCGGCATAGTACCCAAAAGGAATACCGCAAACGACCCATTCAGCTTCCTCGGTCACGCCAAACTTGTCGTAAACCGTCGGACCCGTGGGCCGTGGCGGATGCACGCAGTCGTACGACGCAGGCTTGCGCTCGGGGTACAACCACTCCAAGACGAGCGTGACACAATTCCAGGCATTCGGTCTGCTGCGATTGACGTGTTTCTTCAGCCAGCAAGCCAGCAGTTCCTCGCGAACATCTTGTATCTCCTGGTAGTGATGCCTTAAACAGTACCGAAGCATATCAATGCTGGTCGTGGCGCAGTGATCAATGATATCTTGCGGTGGTCGTACACGTTCGACGAAAATCCAGTATCGGAACAGCATGACCCACACAGCTGATGAGGTGCAAAACTGTGTGCAGTCTATGTCATTCACCGACAAGGCTGTGGACAGCGAGTAGGACCGACCAACCCGAATCGTCTCCAGCGCGTCAAACAGCTCCATAATGGAGCCAGTCATGAGCGGGCTCTCAATGTCATCCCAGTACCGAGTGTAGCGGCGCGAGTGCATCACCCAGCCAGTCTGTTCACTGCCAGTCCCGCGAGAGAATGACGCGAAATAGGGATCTGAGTCACCCCAGTAGAGTTTCGCGCTCAGAGGCAAACCAGTCGCAACCAAGTCCATCTGCAGTGTCGGGTCGCGCAGCAGGTCTCCATGAAACGTGAGACGGTCGATGTTGGACTGGTTGATTGAGCACGAGGTTGCTGTGGCTTCATCGACCATGAAAATGCGAGAAGCATTGCGCTCGGCACGCCGCAGACAGCGACGTACAAATCGGGACTTGGTGTCGATGGCGACTCCTCGATGCGAGAAGCGCACACGCTCGGCCGACTTGGATGCCACGAACGAAGGAAGCAGGCGACGTCCAACTGCCCAGTTAAACTCGGGGCTCGCATCCAGTGGATTAAAGTCGGGCTCGCGGTTCACTGGGTGGTTTTGGATAAAGTCATCCAGGGGAAAGTCTGGGATGGATTGTCGAGCAGAGTGAGGCGCAACAGAGAAGGTGAGTCGTTCGCTATAGTTTTTGTTTGCGCATTGCGTTGCAGCGTTCAGTCGGTTACCTTCAGATCCATCAAAAATGTCCCACCAAAAAGACAGAGGGGCTCGATTGGAATCGGCCGTCTCGACGCCGGTGCTGGAGCCCGAGCTGGACGATGCACGCGCGGTCGTCGCTTCTGAGATGGAGCACGATGCGCCGGGCAGCACGCCTGCTTTGGCGGCTTCTGCGACTGCGAGCGCCCATGGCGTGGGAGCCTGCTCTGACTGTGATGGAGTAGACTCGGGTGCAGCAGCAGCAGCAGCAGCAGAGCCCTGCTTCAGCTGGGTCGGGACCGGTCGCTGGCACTTTAGCATGGAAATCACCCACTCCACCGGGTCGAAGCCAGCCTCGCGGATGCTGTTCCACAACGGGTCTGTCGCGGGATCGCGCTCGTGAAGAATGCCGACATAGCCGAATGGCCGCTTCACATATGTATTGGGATTTGCATTGAGGGCTGGCGCGTACTCGCGGTACATTGGGTGGCGGCGGTAGTTGAGCTCGTCCAGCGTGTCGTCGTCGCTCTCCCGATCGTCAAAGTGCACAGCTGAGCCGTAGTCCCTGCCGTCATTGGCATCAACGACAACGGTGTCCGAATCGTAGCCATCAGAGTCGTTGGAACCGTCAGAGTCGTCGTCGGACATGGAAATAGAATCAAAGAACTGAGAGTAGAAAAGCAAAAGACTGAGATGTTTGATTTCGTATTGTTTCTTGGATTTTCGTCAATGAGATGTTTGTTTGCTTTTGCATCCACTGAAATTGTTGGTACCAGTTTTGTGTTTTTTTATTTGAATGAAGGTAAATCAATCAATACTGTACAAGAGTTACAAAAGCGGTTTTTGAAAGGACTGAGCAAAAAAATAAGCTCCATCCCGAAAAAAACAATACACAGGCAAATATGCACGAAAGACCAACAAAAAGGAACAAAAACTAGTAGTACAATCGAAAACAAACGAGGAACAAATCCAAACCATTGAAAAGGCGCCTTATCGCAAGACGCTTAAATAAAAGCAAGGATTGGAGGAAACTAGAAGACACGGTGAAGAGCCTTGTGTAGTTTGCGGGTGAGTTGATGAGGGGGGTGGTTACAGGACGTGATGTTGAGGAATCATCAGGACGTGCGGGACTGGCATGCCTGATGGGACTGGCATTCCTGAAGGCACACCATGCATTGTCAAAATGTGGGTGTTGAGCGTCAAGTCGGCCGAGAAGACCTGCGAGCAGCTTGGGCAGGCAAAGCGCGTGTCAAAGTCGTGGTGCTCTTCCGCCAGATGCCGCTGGAGTGTGGCAGTCGAGTCCAGCTCGCGATTGCACGAAAGGCACGACACAGGACCACTGCGCTCGTGCGCAGAGCGGTAGTGCTCAATCATGGCCAATTTGCCATCAAACACGGTGGCACACAGAGGACACGAGCGGCGAACTTCGGCGTGATGCGTCATGCTCTTGTGGGAGCGTGGCGTGAGAGGAGCCTCGTCGCTCTGAGCAGCTCCATACGGCGAGTTCCATTCGCTCAATGGGGTGTGGTCCTGAGGGGGCGACGACATGTTGGCAATCTGTGTCAACACGGGCGAGAACGCAGGTGGCGAGCTGTACTCGTCGTTGGCGTGCACAGCCTCGTGGTGCTGCTCTTCCATCCCATGGTGCTTGTTTGCCACAAGCTGCATTGCGTGGGGTGCATGCTGTGGGACGTGCTGATGCGGAGCATGGTGGTAGTAGTTGCGGTACGGCAGCCCAGCGAGCTGCTGTTGGGCACTTGTTGGGTGAGGGGACGCGTAAATGTGTTGTTGCTGATGGTGCTGTTGTTGATGTTGCTGCTGCTGCTGCTGCTGCTGCTGCTGGTACTGCTGCGGGTGGTAGTACGGGTGCTGGTATGCGTGGTACATGGCAGGCTGCTGCGGGTGCTCCAACTCGCGCTCGTGCTGAACCACCCCCAACTCGTGCTCGATAATCTGCGAGAGGGTGTGGCGCCAGGCGGGGGAGAAAATGCTGGACGCGCGGTCTGGAAGATCAGGGCGCGAGGACGGCACCATCGGCAGGGGGGCTGAAATGTCGGTCGGAACCATGGCCGAGGACACGGCAGCCAACGCCTTCATGCTTGTGAAGGCATCCTCGGTCGGCAGCGGATGGGTAGTCATTGGCACAACAACGGGCACAGGTGCAGACACGCGGCTTGTGGCAGGTGCTGGCACGAAAGACGACACCGTCGTTTGGAGCGGCACTTGCTGATGGTGTGCGCGTGTTGCGGATCCGGCAGCTGAGGTGGCAGCGGGAGCACTCGAAGACGCATTCGAAGCAGCAGCAGCAGCAGCAGCAGCCGCAGCAGCCGCAACACTTGCCGCTGTGCGACGAGGTGCAGGAGGCAGCTTGGGCGCGCTTTCGCCATGCATGTGCTGGTGCTTGTAGTGTCGCTTCATGTTGCTCGACGTGCTAAAGACCTGGTTGCAGATGGGACAGGGCTTGGGGTTGTAGTTGTGCTTCTTGGCTGACGGCAACAACCCGGTGTTCGAACCGGATCCCGCCTGCGCGCTCACCGCGTGTGATGCAGCCGCCGCTGCAGGTCGCACCGTGTGCACAAGCGAAGCAAGCGATGCATTGGAAGAGGTAGAGCCACTCGACCCACGTCGGTTGTTGGCAGATGCAGCCGATCCGAGCAACGCCGGGTGATTTTGAAGATTCACAGAATTGGCTCGTGTTGCGCCATCCATTGCCAAACGCGGATGCTGCGAATGTGGCTGAACAACAGACGAGGACGCCGAAATGTACGCTGCCGGTGGCGCCACCCGGGGCGACGACGACGACGCTGCCGAGTGAGCAGAAACCGGCGACTGCGATGCGTGGCTCGGGCTTGGCGACGACGAGACGGTCGATGAGGCAGAGGAGGAAGCGGTGAATCGGGTGTGCGAAAGATGAACGTCATCGTCGTCGTCCGCGTCCAGCTCATCCTCATCGTCGTCCTCCTCCTCCTCTTCTTCCTCCTCGTTGTCGGCCTCGACTTTGCCGGGATAGGCGACCTGCTGGTGGGTCTGTTGCTCCGACAATGGCCGTGGCATGAGTGCAAAGGCAGCGTCATTGGCTGGGTCATTCCCGCTGCTGCTGCTGTCGCTCGTCTGGTGTGTCTGAGCGAGAATAGTGTCGGCGTGGCGCTCCGAGCTCATTGCGTCCCGCAACTCCCCAGCCGCATGCAACGGACCTGCCAATGCGGTCACGGTGTGGTGGTCCTGGTGGTCGGCGGCAGCGGAGGCAGAGGCAGGCGCAGAGGCAGGCGCAGAGTGCAGTGCTTCTTGGCGTTCTTTTGAGCTTGCGTCATCACTTTCGCGCTCCGAGCTATGGCTCAGGTCTTCCGCACCCGCGCCGGCGTCGGACACGTCAGCCGCAAATGAGGTGTCATTGTTGGGTGAGTGCGTGGCACCGGCAGCCACCAAAGCCGACGGCGTGGAGGTGTGTGCAGGGCCGGTGGAGCCGCTGGGGCTGGTCGGCCGACCGTTGAAAGTAAAGTCTTGGCTCTGCGCGCCAAGCCGGCCATTTCCAGACGTTTGCGAGTCGTCTTCGAACGGCGACTTTATGCTGTTGCTGGTGTTGTTGCTGTTGCTGTTGCTGTGATTGCTGCTGTTGCTGCTGTTGCTGCTGTTGCTGCTGGTGGAGCTCGTGGTGGACACTGAAAATGTCCGTGAATCTTCTCCCCGCGCTCCTTCTTGGAGCTCCGCACCTGACAGCCGCGCCTTCTTTCGCAGTCCGTTGGCTGCGTTGGGCGCGTCTGTCGCGTCGCTCGTGCTCATTGCTGCGTTTGTGTTGCTACTGCTCTCAAAGACATGCTCGTCTTCATCGAGCGCACGTCGCTTTGCTGACATTTTTTGAAAAATCTCGAAGCGCGTAGAAGTTAATTCTGGCTGCAAGTTTGAGTTTGCGGTTTGGTGAGAAATGAAAGATTTCAGTGCAAAAATCACAAAAATCAAACAAAAGAGAAAAAAAGAAAACTGAACTCAGATCGAAAAAGAAAGATGACCGCAAAAGATTCCGAAACAAGAAACTGACAAGATTGAAAAAAAAAATGAACAGAAACGCAACTTGAACGCTCACCCAAAACCAGAGGCGGTTCAATCGAGGAGTGAATAGCTCTATGGAAGTGATCACACACAACGGGGCCCCGTTCGGGGGTCAAGCAGAGCTATCCTGTGTGCCCCTGGGTAGCTCCCAGTCGATTTTGCAACTACTGTAAGCGCTTTCTTTGCGTTGAAGGAAGTGGATTTTTGGTGTGTTTTTTTTTTTTTTTTTTTTTTTTGGAATTTGTGTGAAGCAAAGTCGAGATTGGAAAATCTGGGTCTGAGCGGTGGCTGCTTTCCGTTCAAGAGGGGCCGCGTAGAAGACAAATACCTGTCTTGGCTGTTTGGGGGTGGAGGGGTGGGGAAGGCTCAGGATACAGACGAAAGATTGGGAAAAACCCCGAAATGATCTGCTCAACCGCGGTTTTTGGGTGAAATTGACTGCGGTTTCGCATGTACTCCAAGAGCGACAATATCGTCACCAACTTCTCGGACATCAACGAGACAGGGATCGACATATGGTGAAAAAAAGGGAAGAAAACAGCAGGTAAAGAGTGATGGAAGATGGATGCAGCCAAAAAGTAGCGGTCGTACAGCAAAACAAACACCGACTCCGCCACCACCACGCAACAAATTTCCAAATTGCTTGTTGAGCACATGTGCTGAGTGTATCACTTTATGCAGGGTTAGAGTAGGTAGGACTTGTGTGTAGGACTTGTGTGTCTCACGATCATGATGCTTCCTAAAACAAAAAAAAAAGAAGCTCAGTCGAACCTCTGCTTGTCTTGGCTTTTCTTTCGACAGACATGCCGCGCGCTGCTCAAACCATCAAGCAACTTGCCTCTGCGGCTCGTCCACTCGCAACCTCCGCGGAATCTTCCACGAGGCTTGTCGTTCCACCAGAGATCGCCGCAGAGTTCCCCGTCAGGGGCCCTGCTTTCGACGACTTTATCAGGCGCACCCCACCCGATGTCCTCAAGGCAGCACTTGCCCACGCGCAAGCTGTGCTCGAAGCTGCTTCCCGGCGAAAGGCATAATCTGTCATTCCGACTGTCGTCTGTCCGAATGTTGACTGGTTCAGACCAACTCACCATCCCAATCTCTGTCAGCCTGAATTTCGAAGCTGAGCCAGCTCTCTCCTCGGCAGGAAGCGGCTGTGATGGCTTTTGCTGTCAAAATGAGTGTAGCCTCTGAGGGGTCCGCCAAGTTCTTGTGTGCGGAAGATGTGACAACCGCAAACTATTGTCACTTCATTCCCCAAATCTCAAATGCTTTCTCCTATTCTTTCCATCCTGATTTTCGTCCGGATAGTCCTTTTCGCTTTCATTGTTTTTATGTGCCCAGAATTCAGGACGTCGAGAATGTTCTTGTCCTTGACTGCGTCGAGCAACTCATTGATGGAAAGTGGGTGGAATAATTTTTTTGTTTTTTTGTTTGTTTTTTTCCTCTAGCGCGACACACTGTGATTGAGTGATCTTTCAATAAAGCTGTTTTCGGCTCTCTTAAGGCTTTGAAAATGAATGAGAATTGAGTAGAAGACCAAGGGCGCAAAATCACAATAAATCACAATGGGTTTTAATAGCTTTTTGGTGATGGGGGTGATGGAGTCGGATGTGGGCTGGCATGGGTTTGGAGTGCATCACTTCATGTTGTGCTAGACTGTACAGTGCAGTATCTTTGTTTTCTTTACGAGATTCTTTTGTGTGTGATTTTGGGTTTGGATCTGATCTGGTTGTTTCGGAAATCTTACCAGCGAGAGGACGAGGGAGAGCAAGCTGGACGAATTCTCAGAAAAGGAATCGCAATCTACAGCTAAAAAGCCAAAATACGAAACAGGAGTGAACAGCCCGCCCGTTTCGTTGATGCTTTGTTTAGTGATGCTGTTTTCGGAGCGAGGCACACAGGCAATCCGATTAACCCCTGTCCATCAGATTGGGACGACCAACTCGATGTGTGCCAGCCACCTAGATCCGCGTAACCAAAGTAAACCAACTGGCCAGGGATCCGTGTCAGCAAGCCACCTGGATCCGCGTCAGCAAGCAGATGCCGCCAGTCCCAATCCTCAATCCTTCGCTGAGGTAATCAACAAACCGATACAGCAAAAAAAAAAAAAAAAAAAAAGTCACTCCGACAGAGGAGAGCAATACCACAGGTGAAACAGATCATCAAACTGAATCAGGTAGAAGGGTGTACATTGATGAGGACCGAGAGGGGTCAAAAGTTGAACATTGACAAGAACAAGAAGAAAGCAACAAAACTCGTGCGTCCACCGACAGTGAACAGCAGAGAGAAGCGCGAATCTAGAAGACGTTTGAGCAAAGAACAGGCGCTCAAGGGTTGAGACGGGTTGGAGGGGATGGCCGGGCAAAACGATAAAGACAGAGGAAGGAAAATATCAGATCAACACAATCGCGAGGGGCAGTTTAGTGCTTGGCCTTGGCGCCAGAGGTCTCATCGAGATACTTCAAGTAGGCACCGAGTGAGAATCCGGGCGCGTTAGGATCAGTGACCACTGAGTTGGAGACAACAAGAAACAAAAAAAAAAAAAAAACAGGCAACCAAAGGTGAGAAACTGTTTACCATCGTGCTGATGCGAAGCGTGCAAAACCCCGATTGTGTGTATGCGTGCGTTCGTGTGTGTGTGTGTGTGTGTGTGATCCGAGTACACCAAACAAAAAGACTCACCTCCAGTGCTGGAGCCAGCAACTGGTTTAGGATGCTTTCGGGCCTCATCGGCGGCGATAGCACGATGAGCATCAGCCCTCGCCTGGAAAGCGCGAGCCTGCGATGCTCCATATAGAAGGCCCAAGCCGAGGGCGACGTAGCGCGATGCCTGTGCAGCCAAGTCAAGTCAGAGAGCGTTCGTGAGTGGGAAGGCGAGCCAAACACGAGTTTCTGCAGAGTCTCACGAATGCCGTTGCTCAATCATTCTGTGTTGATGAGCTCGACGCTCGAGTGGTCGTGGTTTGAGTGGTGGTTTGATGTGGTTGAGCGGCCGCTGCTGCTGTGGTCGATCGATTGAGCAAAAAAAAGCCTGCTTCCTATCGATCTTCCATTCACTGGATCCACGCTTTGCTGGCGCCTCCGACGCGGCCATCCGACCAACCGTCAGAGTAAAGCGTGCGATGCGATGTGGTGAAGTGTGCCACACTTTCCCACCAGAACGTCCCACACACGCGCATCTGTGCCTCGGCTGCCAGTTCCGACGATCTCGTGCTTTTTTTTTTTTTTTTTTTTTTTTTTTTTTTTTTCTTGCACGGGATTTGGCCAAAGTTCAATGTGCCGCGATGCAGCTGCTGCAGACTGGGGCTTTCATCACAAGCAGGGAGACGGCAGGTTTGATGGGCAATCGAAGGAAGGCGACAGATTCCAGAATGGAGCAGGGCCGCAGAGCAACCGGGGGGAAAACAGCGCCAATCGCACCGATCTCACACGAGGAGTCGAAATAAAAAAAAATAAAAAAAAAGCAAGCCAAAGCCGATCAACGGACATCAGCCTGCACCACCACTACTACCACCACTACCACCACCATTGCAGAAAAGCTCAAAGGCAAGGGTGGTTGCAAAGGCAGGGCTTCCGGAGCGTTGTCGAACGAGAAAAAGCTGCTGCCGACACGACCACAAAAAAAAAAAAAAAATCCGTACTCGAATAAGTGGCGAAACGGACGACATGGATGTGTGAAGGAAAACGACTGGGAATGAATGGGTGGACAATCCATCATCAGGATTTGGATGTGAGAGTAAGGAAGAAAGGCTGGTGGAGGCGAGGGAGCAAAGCCACGGCCCCGAGCTTGCTAGCTCGGCAGTGCATCGAGTTTTTGGTGCACCGAAGCTCGCTCCAAGCGTTGCAACCTGCAAATGCATAGTTCGTGGATCAGCATCATGCGTGCCCAAAGATCCATTCCACGCGGCGGCGGATTCAAAGCTGTGCCACTCGAGCTACGAGAACGCTGGCGATCTGAGAATTGTATTTTTCTTTTCATTTGCCGGGAAGCGGTATCACGGGCTCTTGATCCACCACCCGCGTTCGTTTGGTAATGCGCGACCGCTCGATGACAATCTGTAGACGCTTGACCGGCGCAGGGCAGTCGGCAATTGTCGGCAAGGGTTGCCAGCTCGCGAACGCAATGGCTGTTCCAAACACCTGTTTCTGTCACAAGCGTTTGACTTGCGTTTTCGTTGTTTTTTTTTTCGATACTGCTGTTGTTCCCTTGTCTATTTTCTGCCCCCGTTCTTCCACTCTCTGCGCACCAGTGTTTCTTGGCTCCATTCCTAGTTTTTTTGTTGTTTTTTTGTCGTTTTTTTTTTTTTTTTTTTTTTTTTTTTTCGTTGTTTTGGGATTTTTTTTTCTATTTTTTTTCTTTCTTTTGCCGTGTTTGTTTCTTTGTCGACAAGCAATGCAGCAGCAGCTCGGCTACCGGCGCAAGTCGTGCTTCTGGTGCGGCGTGGACAAGAAGCGATGCTCACTGAACGACGATCCGGTGAGCAGCAACAGCAGCGGCAGCGGCGGCGTCTTTCTGATTCCGGACGGGAGGAGCAGCCCCGGAACGATCGCCGCTTCCACAACGCCGACGCCGCTCTCCGGCAGTGGCTCCACGGCCTCTGCGACGACCTCCGGCGCCGCCGCTGCGCCTGGAGGCAGCCACACGAGTCTCCTCAACGCTGGTGCGGGATCGGCGGGCGGCAGCTACGCGTGCGTGCACTGTGTTCGCAAGTCGCGGTACTGCTACCATGCGGCCCGAAACCTGACTCTGCCCTACCCGCCGGACGCGACGACCACGCCGCAGCACCTGCCGCCCTTCCCAATCCCGCCGATCAGCACTCCCGACCTAGCTGCGTTGGTCTGGTCGTCCGCGTCGCCGACCCCGTCTGCGGAGTCGCAGCGCAAGGGCAGCCTGACTAGCAGCAGCAGCAGCAGCACGAGCATCGTCGTCGGTGATCCCACCACGCCGCCGCCTGCGTCCACGGCAACCACCGCCGCTGCGACTGCCCCGGTGGCTGCGATGGGCGCGCTTACCTTTGTCAATGCAGGGCCAACAGCGGGCTTAGCTGCGGCGGGTGCGGTGGCGGCCCAGGGCGCGCTGGGTGGAAGAAGTAGCGGCATCCTGCTCGCCCGACCTCTGAGCAACAATGCGAGCACCCTCAGCACCGCGACCACGTCCACCACCAACACCACCACCACCACCACGAGCAACCATAGCATTAGTCATCCTAGTAATAATAACAGCAGCAACCAGTGGTCAAGCTACACGCCCGCACTGGACTTGTACCAGCAACAGCAGCATCAACAACGGCCACAGCAACGCTCGCTTCTGAGCCCCAGCACGACGCGCCGACGCCGCCGCAGCATCAGCCCACCGGCCTCTTCACCATCCGCAGCATCATCGTCGTCATCAGCACCATTAGCATCATCAGCTTCATCGCTCTCGTCCTTGGCGTCGTCCTCTGCTTCGTCGTCGACGTCGTCGTTGTCGTCGTCCAATCATAGTAGCGTTGTTAGCAGCCAGAGCGGAAGTCCCGTCTCAGCAACTTCGATGGGCCCGTTCTTTGCCTATCCCCATCCGCGCACCAACCAGATGAATTCACACCACGCGATGATGCAGCCAATGCAATCATCGTCCTTGTCGACCGTGGCGTACGCGACGGCGACTCCCGCGGAGACTGCAGCGGCGGTGGCGCTCGCGCAGGCTGGCCGATCCTCTCCCGCCTTTGCTTGGCCCCGTGCGGTCCCTGCATCCACTCCAGCAGCACCGCTAGGAACAATGCAGTCATCGCTACCACACCAAGCACAGCCCGTGGCGATGGTGCAGCCATCCCCGTCGGCGTTTGCAGATGCCGCCACCGACGCTGCCAAAGCGCGGATTGCCTCCGCACTTGCCTCGTTGTCAGAATTTGCAGGCCATCAGCAAGCACTGCCACAGCAGCCACACCTTCAACAACATCAACCACAACTACAACAGCAACAGCCACCACAACAGCAGTCGTTCCAGTATTCTCCGTATTTACAATATTCCACCCCTCAATTTCAGCAACAGCAGCACCACTATCAACAACAACAGCAGCAGCAGCAACAGCAGCAGCAACAGCAGCAGCAACAGCAACAACAACTACTACTACAACAACAACAACCGGTTGCCATGCAATCAAGCTCGCTTGACAGCAATGGAGCGGCAATGCCAATGTATCCGCAGTACTACTCCACAATGGCAATGGGGTCTGTGTCCTTTATGACGGGACAACAACAATACGCTGCCACGGGTTACATGCACGAAACGTCAAGTTACTGGTCGTCTTCGACTGGATCCTCATCGGCCTCCACGTCGTCGTCTTCCTCTCCAGCTCCAAACCAGCTGCTTCCCATGGCTTCCGCTCCCAGCGATGCGCTTGTGGTTGCTGCCGAGCAGCATGCTCAAGTTCGCGCGTAATGTGTTTCAGAGTTTTTGCTTTTTTGTCGCTTGGTTTTATCGTTTGTTTTTGTTGCAGCTCGGTCTGCGCCAAAGTGGTGGCGATTGTGACTTGTTTTGTTGCCTTGCTCTGAGTTTTACTTTTGTTTCGTCTAGTGTTTGTTTGCGCTTTGTTGTGTGTTATGCTGCGATGCCCCCTCCCTCCCTGTGTTGCGTGTGTGTGTCGCATTCGTTGTTGGATCAACTTCCAAATTCATCGCTTCGATCGTTCTTCACCTCGCGGTCCTCATCTCGCCGTCAACTTTGTTGTTCTTCTTCCTGCCAGGTGTTTGCTGCGTGTGTTTGGTTGATATTGAGGATCATGGATTGCTCGATTTCAGTGAAACCCGGTCCCAATTCCCGTCCGTCTTGCTTCATCAATACATGTATCAATGCTCCCTTTCTCCCTTTGTTCGTTTTCCATTCAATAACTCTTTCTCAGTCGTTCATTCTTATTTTTATTATTTTTCACATCACAATCGCACAGCCATGGCGGCGTTCCTTCCAATGCACACTCCAGCCAGTCTGCCGCACGAAGCCGCTGGCGGCGCAACCAAGCACGACTTTAGCCCCTACGCGTCCAACGGCGGGTACGACCCTTCCCCTGCTCCTCCCCCCCCCTCCGCTTCCTTGTTGATCTCTTGTCTGTGTGTCTGGGGAGAGTGACGACGACTGCGACCGAGATCGAGAGACAGCGCGCGAACGAACTCCCGTTGAGTTCAATTGTTTCTCGAACAACCTCCTTTCGTCCCTCGCCTCGCTCTGGCCCGCCACGGACGGACGGAGTGTCTCTTTGTTTCCCGTCCCGTCTTACATCTAACGCAGACTGTGCGAACGCAGTGTGGGTTTGCGTCTGCTGCTGGTCGTTTTGAGCAACGTCGTCCGCGTCGTTCCTTCCTTTTCGTCATTGAAAAAAGTTCGCGATCTCGCATCCTTTTTTTTTTTGTTTTTTTTTTTTTTTTTTTTTTTTTTTTTTTTTT